TACTGGAAGAAAATTATTTTTGTGGCCTCAAACTAACTCATGCTATATAGTGAATTAAATTTCTCAGGAATTTCTATTTTAGCAAATATATATATAGATATATAGATATATATTTTTAATTGGTATGGTATGTAACCAAGAGAAGAATTCCATCAGTACATCAGTATAAGATAGGGAATTTTGGACAGAAACACTTTTCTGGCAATTTTTACTCATAAAGTATAGATTTGTTTTTCTTCTTTCTTAGGCTGAAAAACATTGTATCCTTGCATTCTACTAGATTTTTTTCTAGTTCGGTTGTTATCTTCCTATAGTGAGAGACTATGTATATAGTTCGATTCTGCAAAATATTTTGTGCTCAATAAGTATTTGCTGTTGGCTAGGAAGGTTAACTGTAAGGGAAATGTATCTTTCTTTTTTTTTTTAAGACTTTATTTATTTGACAGAGAGACACAGCGGGAGAGGGAACACAAGCAGGGGGAGTGGGAGAGGGAGAAGCAGGCTTCCTGCGGAGCAGGGAACCTGATGCGGGGCTTGATCCCAGGACCCTGGGATCATGACCTGAGCCGAAGGCAGACGCTTAATGACTGAGCCACCCAGGCACCCTGAAATGTATCTTTCTAATGTCTCAGAAAGTCCTATTTTAATAGTGAGAACACCCACATTCCTAATTCATTTGCAGTCATGATCTTACCTATCATTAAATGAAATAAAAATGATTATATTTTATAGAGCCTTTAATAAGTATAGCGAGGACATATATAGCTCCTTTAATGAATGATGATTTGTAAAAAGTTATTCGGATAACATGTGAAATGTTTTTTTTTTCTATTTTTAAGCCTGCATTCATATTTAAATACATTTATTTTGGTTCAAATTCCCAGTTTTTATTTCACATGAGAAATTTATTCTATCAGAATGAAAAATTCATTATTCCACAGTTTCTTAGCCATATTGCTAAGTGTTTGTAATATTGGGGCACAAAGGTTATTATTTAATAAAATAGAAATGTAGAAAACAAGCAATTCGCTGTGGAGACAACTGTCCATTACCAACAAAAGTCAGTTTTTGATTTTATACTCTAGAGTACTTTGAGGAAATAACAATATATTTCCATGTATGTTGCTTATTTTAATTTAGTTTTCCTTGAATTTTTCTGAAAACCAAAATAAAATTTTTTTCATTATGCTATTTCCTTGGTAACCATCATTAGGATTCCCTTTTTTACTTTTGTATTTTTGTTGTTGATGTCCAGCCTCTCAATATCTTTGTAACTCTCCTCATATTTGTTGTTTTTGTCTAGCTGTATGATTCATCTTACTGATAAGAGAGTTAGCTGAAGGCATTATAACATTTTAAAACAATAGTTAAGCTATAGTCTGGACCAGCAACAAAAATCTGAGTCTGGTTTGGGACTGCCTACCAACTCTGTTCAATGAGATAGCACAGGTCGAGTGACCAGAGGGTCCTAGAAAATCCACAGGCCTGGCCCCCCATCAGGGTTTGCCTAATAAGATGTTTAGAAATAGAAGGCAGCTTATGCCATGATTAGTTCAAAGAGTTTTGCAGGCTTAGATTGACATCAGGTCTTTTCACTCCCTGAGATGATCAAAGAATCCGTGTGTATTGGTCTCCCTTACTGACTACCAGGCCAAGCAAAGACCCAACCTACCTGAGGTCAACTCTGCCATCATCTCTTAGGTCATTTCATTTATTTCAATCTGTAGAATCTCATGAATAGAAAAGGTTAGATTTCTAAACATAATTTTGAGGCTAGATATGCGGTTTAACATTATGCTGTGTTATATCCTATTCAATTATATGAAAATTCTACAGATGTGTGCAGGAGAGTAGGTTGTTTTTGCCTTTAGTCAGATAAAGGACCAGATTTAAACAATGCCTGAGTAGACAATTACTACATGCTGTGATTGGAAGGTTTCTCCAGCCACCTGTCACAATGGTGAAATTTTATCATTAGGGATCCATTTCTCTGGAGAAAGTCTGGCTAGGCTACAGACATTCTCCTGTACAATGCAGACAGCTCTGATTATAGCCATAAGTACTGTTAACTGAATTATGATGTGATGTAGCTTCTCGTTGAAGTTTTGAGTGAAGAAAGGGGAAACTGCATTTGAATTAGATTACAGGCCAAGGTCTTGGTCACTGATTTGTAGCAAGTATTTTAATATAAGTAAAGTTTCCTGTAAATAATGTTCCATCCTATTCTGATACTTTTATTTTTTTAATTTATTTTTCCTATTCTGATAGTTTTAATTCCAAGCACACGCACACAACACATCAAAATAAAACAAAAAAACACCAAAATAAAGCAAAAACACAGGAAGGACTTCTCCAAAGGATGCGTCTGTCTGAGTGGTGGTGACTTTTTTCCCAATTTCTTTTCTAAATCCAATTTTTTGACTATTTGAATACTTCTCTGTTTTCCCCACTAAAAAGCCTTGTTACACCATTTATTCAGTCATGAACAAAAGTATTGGTCTTTTTTTCTAGGAGCTGGTATTGAGCAATGAAAAAGACAGCCATAGTCTCTAATCTTATTGGCACTTAAAGTCTGAAATAGAGGACAAAATTAATGGGAAAATGCAATATGGTGTGATACATATTGAGCCAGAAATACAAAGTACAAGAGAGAACATAGGGTGTCAGGGACAGCCACCTGGTGAGGGAGATATCCAAGTTTCCAAGGTAAGAGTTAAAGTATAAAGGTAAATTAGCCAATAAAAGGCAGTTGGGGTGGAATTGTTTGAGGAAAAAGGAGTAGCATGTTTAAGACCACGTATCAAGGGGTGCCTGGATGGCTCAGTTGTTAAGCGTCTGCCTTCGGCTCAGGTCATGATCCCAAGGTTCTGGGATCGAGCCCCGCATCGGGCTCCCTGCTCGGTGGGAAGCCTGCTTCACCCTCTCCCACTCCCCCTGCTTGTGTTCCCTCTCTCGCTGTGTCTCTCTCTGTCAAATAAATAAATAAAATCTTAAAAAAATAAAAAGACCAAGTATCAAGAGAGACATAATGTATGCTGGGGAATGAAAAATAAAATTTCTCTGTAGCTCGAGCAAGGACTATGTCCAGCAGGGACTATGAAGTGACTTTAAAGCCATATTAAAGAGTATTGCATCTATCCTCAGGAAAATAAATACTCACTAGAGGATTTTAAGCAGAGAACCACCATTTCATTTTAGGAAGAACATACTATAGATGTGTCGCAGATGGGCAGTGATAGGGTAGGATACCAGCCAAGAGCCTGTACTGTATTTGAGGCAAGAGATGGTAATGACCCCAAGTAGAGTAATGACAGTGGGCAGGAGAAAAGGATGGAATCAAGAAATATTAGGAGGTAGAAGAAATGATTGGGAATTGATTGATTAAACACAAAATGGTGAAGGACATGATAGAGGAAGAGGAAATATCCAGAATCATGCCTAATAAAGGCAGTGAATAATTGCCAGTCTCTGAAATAGGGGGAAAAAATACAGAACAAGAGCAAAAGCAAGTTGGGGAGGTAGGAAGTAGATGAGAAGGGGGCCCAAAATGTGTCCCTATTTGGTCATGCTGTTGTTTTGGTTGCTGTGGGATGTCCAAGTGGAATTGTCGAGTTCAAGTAGGGCAATATATATATGCACGTGTGGAGATCGAGGGGGAAATCTGGATCGGAGACAGAGTTGAGAGTTGTGAGTGAAAGAGGGCTAACCGAAACTAGAGGTGTGGGTGGAATGAGAAGAAAGGAAAGCCTAAGGCAAAATCCTGAGAACAATTTATGATCCAGGTAGAAATACCGAGAATGCCCTCCCACTCCTGTCGTAGTGTAAGACTTGCAGCTCTTTTAGCAGCTCTTTTAGCTTTTAGTCATAGTTGAGTAATGCTGTGTTCCAAGTTGGCTTCATTAAAGAATAATGGCATTTCTAATACATTTTAAGCTAAAGAGCCCACTATATATTATTTTTTATGTTTTTTTTATATTTTTTATTGAAGTGTAGTTGCCACACAGTGTCACATTAGCTTCAGGTGTATAGCATAGTGATGTGACAATATTACGCTGTGCTCTTCACAAGCGGGGTCATTTTTAAAACCCCGCTCATGGTCTGTGGGACAGGTAGTTCTCTTATACCAGATAATCATGTCTGCACATCATATAATACAGACAGATGCTTGCTGTGATGCATAACTTAAGGAATTCTCAGTAAGTTGCTTGTCCCAGTCCTTGCTTATAGAACTGTTCTTCTAAAGGTGAACAGGTCCTTGAAGGGAGACTGTGCAGTCTGCTCAGCATGCTATTTATATTTGGAAAGTGTTAAATTACCCTAATCATACCTATAGTAACAATCAAGATTAATTGCAGCTGTATTAGGATACTTATTATTTGTTCCAGTTCAGCAGTAACACAGATCCAATTGTACAAGTGATTTCCATAATCCAAATTGTGAAAGAAAACTGGGGGGAAAAGCCCATGCAAAACTGGTAGAAATCGTATTTAAAATAAATCCGTGACCAGATGGTTGTTGAAATTCTCTTTTTGAAAGGAGCTGATTCTGAACAGATTGTATATGTGTCTCACTGGTGGAAGTGGATTATCCATCTTGAATTGGATTGTGATGACGATGACCCTATTCTAAGTAAACCAAATCTCTTGAACTATATAATGAGATCAGGAGGAACATTCGGCCTGAGAACGACAGATTGCAACGACGCAGATGATTTCACTACTGTATTTTTTTTTCCAGCCTCATTCCTTGATATACATAATTCTGTGGTTTTTGTCCTGCAGAGATTCTGGATCCTGTAGTTCTGTGTGCTAATTCTTATTTCTTATTCTTATTTTTATTTTTATAAGCAGAGCTGAATGAGTGGCAGGAAGCTGCGAAATCTATCTTACAAAAAGGTGATTATGACGGAGTCTAGAATCTTCATTTCCTTTGTGGCAGGATTGCAGGAAAACTATTGTGATTAAACATTGAACCGCTTCCTTCTTCCTTCTTTTCTTTAGGCCGTGAGGAGGCAAAAGTTGCTTGAGCAGAGCATCCAGTCGGCCCAGGAGATCGAAAAATCCTTGCACTTAATTCAGGAGTCCCTTTCCTCCATTGACAAGCAGTTGGCAGCTTATATTGCTGACAAAGTGGACGCAGCTCAGATGCCTCAAGAAGCCCAGGCAAGTAAACTGGGAATGAGATACTGTTACTTGGTGTGTTATCGGAACAGGACATTGCTGAATTTTTAAGTTAAAATTGAGTCAACTAGTTGTACGCAGGGTTATTTGATTGACTGATTTGACTGTTTGGAGGTAAGAGGGAAAAAGACCTCTAGGTTAACACTCTAAGATTTATTTTTTAAAGTATGTAATAGAGGAATTTGAAATAGAGACACTTACAAGGCAGGGAAATAGCATTTGGAAGTCTGCTGTTAATCTATTTTCAAACTATACTTAAGCTAGAGGGAAACTTTAAGAATGTACATTGTAAAGAAGGTATTTTTAGGGTGCCATTAGAAATGCAGTCTCAAATATTTTATTATCAACTCATCTTTTTTATTTTGGAATCATAAGTCTTATGATCTCTATATTGTTCTACATGTGATGTTTCATAGGTAGTTGATAGCAAAAAATTTGAGATGTAAATTTGCATTTATTACTAATAATCATACCATATATATTCACATGTACTCACACATCCCACTCTGTTCAATCCAAATTATGAAATATGCTAAACCAGTTTTTCTAAAATGAGAGTTAAAATAATAATGAAAATAAGTCTAAGTTAATTTTATACTGAATAAATTGACGCTATATCTAAATTAACTTCCACCTTGGAAAGTATTTTTTTAAATGCTATATTTCTATTTTTTAATAACTTTAAATATATGTAAAGTATAATAGGTATTATTTATTTCAATATCTTTGGAATTTTCTGGTAGTAAGGTAATGTAACTACTTTTCAAATCTTAGGTACATTTTATGAATCCAATAACCATGGATAATTCAGACCAGTAAGTTAAGATGTGAGGGGCATTAGGTTATCTACCCATCCCAAGGGCCCTCTCCCCAGTAATTGGTGGAGAAGCCTGAATGTTTTCATTTTAAAATGAATTTTTGGATTAAGTATTGGATTTACAGATCATGGTTATGGTGCAATTATAGTGCACTGAATCATAGTCTGATTGGTACCCAGAGCATCGTTATACACAATAGCATGAGGTAGTTTACCATATTGTCAAAGTTTGACCACAAAGTCCCTGAGAACACGGGGCAGGGTACAGGTGGTTTTGATAGGCTTACAAAGTCCAGGGCACAGGGTTTCCTCATTGACCATTGCGACAGGGGTTGAAGAAAGTATAGTTTAGAGGAATCCTGATGACAGCATCCTCATGATAGTTTTTCATTGGGACAAGTGTAAATCGTAAATGGGAGATGATTGTGAACACTGTTGAGGATTTTAAGATCCCTGGTATATGCATTCCTTCAAGCTTACATTAGTCCGGTGCTCAACCATTAACTCTTCCTAAGACTGTCCCAATTAGAAAAATACTTGACAGGAATGGGAAATTATTACTTAGTTGAGAAGAACTTCATGATTATAAACTAAAGGCAGAATAGAGTTGTTTCTTTTTTTTTTAATTCAGTGACTTAAACTTGTAGGAATGTTTGATTAAAGACTGCTCATAAATTTCTGAATATAATTAAGGGAAATTTTGAACAATATAAATATTACATATTAAAATTGGGCATTTGTACTATAAAATATATAACTTTTTTAAGGCTTACAGAATGAAAGTATGAGTAACAATATGAAAGTATGAGATATGCAATAGCTATTATTGTTTTAGAAACAAATGGGAGCTTTTAGGAAAAAAAACTTGTTTAGTTGAAAAGGTTGTGGACTGTGAGTGTTCTTTTTTGTTTAGATATGAATGCAGGATTCCATAAACATGAATATAACATACTAGTTTTTAATACCATAATATAAAGTGTTTTGTATTTTTTTCAAATAAAAAAGCTGTAGTAAAAATGTTTTTAATTATAACAGTTCAAAATACTGGCAAATAACAGCACACAAGTCAATTAAGAAATTTCAAATCTACTTGGAAAAAGGGATTTTACAGCACTAACAAGCGCAAATCCGTTTTCCATGCATTTCTGGTTGCACCTGCATTTTCAAGATAATTCTTGACTTTGAATTCCCCAACTGGTAATATATAATATTGGAAAATGCAGGCCACCCAAAAGAAAGAAAAACATTCTTCTCCAAGATTTTATTTTAAGATGACAGCAAGTGAATTGTTTTCTCAAACAGAGTTATCAGGTATTCAGATTTACTTCAAGGATTACATTTCCTGAAGCTCAATTTGAAACTCTCTTGAAAGAGACAAGTAAAGAGTAAAGAGACTGTGAAGTAAGAACATAAGCAGAGTTTGCCAGACAAAGAAGCCACTAAGAATGCCACCAAAATGGCATTTTTTTCTGACTGTGTATCATGGGGGGCTAACTTTCCTGGCTTGTACTAATACAAAACAACTTGTTTCTTTAAATTTCCATCTAAGTTCATTGTTAATTAAAAGATTAGGTAGACTTAGCTTTCCCTTTTCCGAAACCGAGTGCTTGTTTTAGTATATCACTGAGAAGCCGGACAAACAAAAAGAATGCCATTACTGTATTTGGTCCTCTTAAATAATGTGCTCAAATTTCCTGTCACACACTGGCCACATAGATTTGTGGATGTCTGACTCCACCGTGTGGTGCAGTAGTAGTTTTGCTGCCAAATTAAAATCTGTTAATAGAGCCTTCTTTTTCTGCCTTTTAAGATTGAGACTCTCAGGAATAACAAATTCTCAGTATTACGAACATATACGCGATGTGTATAACTTTATAACAGGTATGCTCTTATTATTTATAAAAGGAGGCGTAGATCAAGATGGGTTCCTGTATTACATTTGCCTTTATAACTATAGGGCAGAAATGAGCTCCCCACTGCCTCAGCATGTTCATTGATCAGTTATCTGTTATGATTATAGAACTGGGCCTTCCTATTCTAAATCAGATTAAAAATATTTACTGTTTTATTTAGTAACGAGCTCATAGGAGTGAAGTCTAACCTTTGAGAGAGTAGGATTACATATTGTGAGGATATCAGAGCATACAGTGACCGGAGTATTTTTTTTCAGTCAGTAACACTTAAACCAAAATCTTAGATCGTACAACCACAGCATCAACTGCCCAATACCAGGCCATTTAAAGCAAGATTTTTATTAAAGTACAAAATTAAGATAACATCTTCTTGATTCAAATAGAGTAAAGCAAAAGGGAGGAATTCTTCTAGATAGAAAAATTTATCTTCTAGTTACAGAAATCAGAAACTTAACAACTATTTCAAAAATAGTATGATTAAAATATAAAAAACCAATGAGTGCTTCTTCAGGAACAATTTTACAGTATAAAATCATCAAATTATATAACTGCAAAGCAACACATATCATGAATATAGTTATTTGCTCCTTAAGTGTCCTGCAGAACATACTGAAACACAGATTTAGTTTTAGCACCTACGATCTGGAAGAAAAGTTCCCAGAGTGCACCCACACCAGTCATGTCAGAATCTCCGGGGGGAACTCAGTTGTCAGAATTATTGGAAATTCTCCCGAGTGTTCTCACATGTGGAAAAGGTTGAGAACGACTTTAGAGAGTTCATTATTGGTCATGGCTGAAATGTTCCACAGTTTTTTCCTCACATCACATTTCTCACCACTCACTCTTTGATATTCACACCTATGACATTGTCGAGATTTCAATGGGAGGGAGTTGGGGTGACTTTCTCTTCTATTTTGATTGTCCCCTTACTCTTATGGGAAATGAATAAAGGAGGAAACATAGCTGAGAATTCCTGCAGGAATGAATTAATTCAGGCAAGTAGAATTTTCACATGGATGTTTGAAGATGAACTTGGCTTGGTTTTCTTATTTTCTTCTTCTTTGTCCCCTAATTCCACATATCCTAATGTGCCATTCACCTTGGATGTGCCTCTCAGTGATTGTAGGAGCCAAAATAATCATGTGCAAATAACCACCTTAATGTCTGCAGTTCTTAAAATTACGAAGGTATTTCAGTCTACAGTTTTCCTTTCCAATTATACCAGGAATTTCATAATTTTGAATCTCTAGTATGTAAGAAAAATCCAACATGGGTACCTGTTGAAATGCTCTGTATCATGAAGCGTTGATGATGCACACTTTATAGAGAATATTATGGCGTCACTAAGATTACCACAAGAAGCAGTGGGCTGCCTAGTGGTGATTGCAATGGCTCGACTATTTCTTTTGTCCTGCAGATTCCTGAGCCCATCTTTTGCAACATCTCCCACACATAGTAGATTTATGTGCATGAGTAGAGGGGAAAAAATTCAAGGCAATTTAGGAAACAAATTATCATCAAAGGAGAGGACTTCATAATCAATAGAGAAAGTGCTCCTATATTTCACTCATCAAGCTGGGACTTTCGGATACTCTGGTTCCACTACTGACCAAGTTTCTTCCTTCCATCTCTTTTCCCATCCCATTAGCAATGTGGCTAAAACTTAGTGTCAACAAATAGAAGAGAGGGATCTTCTTTTTACTAAAGAAAGCTGTTAATTTAAGCTGACTGCATTAGCCACACATCAAAACAATTTATAATTGAGGTCTTCCTATGCTTATGGAAGCTAAATCTTATAACTCAGTTTAAATATATTTGGCCATTTTTAAATGTAAGCATTCCAGACTATCAAAACCAATGGCTTAAAAAATAAAGATCTAAATGCAGATTTTGGTCTATCAGATTAAGTTTAAGATTTCATTATAGGATAAAAAAAAGACTTTTCTAGTGTAAATAGGCATATTTGAGTGCCAAACGACTCAGAACAGTCTAACTTTACAGCCTACTTCACTGATTTATGAATTAGTATAAACCCTCATTGCAGAATTCATTCAGGATTTATGTGATAATGGAATAATTTAACCATAGAAGGAGAATATGGAGATCTATTACAGACATTTGGGTTCTAATATTAAACCCCACATAGGTGTGGCAGAAATATTTTCTTTTCTTTTTACCTAGCAATATAAATATGATGATAAACATAATACAATTAATTTTAAATCTGTTCTAACATTGCAATGCTACCTGTG